TTTCTTGAAATTTTGTAATCTTTATGGTGCTACTATAATAGCTTCTAAAGTGAATCAAGACTGGAAGGGAAGGAGGACAGTATCTCTGTTACCATGGGGACCTTATGAAAGAATCATCACATAGGACAATGACCAAAAGAAGAAAATCATTTTTTACTGGCTGTTGACACAGGAGGCTAGGTCAGGAACATCAGCTCTATCATTAGCTCAGTCCGTCTAATCATTCTTTTCTTCTCACTTCCAATATAGAAATTGCACTAGGCTCAAAGTGCCCAACAATCTCAAACTACTTACTTCTATGTATTAATTATCTATAATACAGTAGCACAAATAGGAATCATTTTAAGAAACAGCAATGAAACTGGCAAAAGCCAAGAGGAAAGGTACACACACCCCCTAACTCCCACACAAGCTACCATCAAAGAGCCCTTCCATAGGAAAGGAGGCTAAAGAGCCTAAACAAGAAAGAGAAGGTGCCTCTTCCTCTGAATTTGAAGACACTTTAACAAGGAACATGATTCAGAGAAAGACGGAAGAAGGATACTTGTGAAGGTCAGTGCAATCAGGACTGTAATACTTTATTTTTAAAATGACATGCAGGACCTTCTGAGCAGCTTGCTTGGGGTTTTGGGTTTTGTAAGGCTTGCTAGAGATTTTTGTTTGTTTGTTATTTTGTTTGGTAGACCCTATTCTCTGGCTAATTTAATCAGGCTCTCAAAGGTAAAACATCTACCTAGGTTGAGAGGTTGGAGCCTAAGGCTCAGAGGTTGCACTGGCAGTGGCTTTGACTTTCAGTCTAACCCATGTCCACTACTTATACGGAGCACAAGAGCAGAGGACATGCCAGAGACACACAGCGGCTTGGAGGGCATGGAGAAGGGGACAATGAAGAGTACTTGAGTCATTGCCCATTTCTCTGCCCATACCAGAGAAACAGAATCAAACAGACTAAGAAAGACAGTAGCAATCACCTGGATCCTGGCAGCCTTCCAGGAGGCATTTGCTAACTTCTGATTTTAGTTTGAAACCATGTGGGACACATCACAACAAAAATGCATCTCTAGTAAGCACTTGCTGCCCCTTGATGACGTTTTGCAACAAAGGACATATTTGGTTAAAAGGACTCTGCAGAAGCAGTACTGGTAAAGACCTTGGGTAGCATTTACCCCAGAGACAAGGACTCATGAGGGTTAGACTAAGTGCTTAACAGAAACACAGGAGACATCAGTGTGTAGATGAGGACAGGAGCTAATAGTTCTATCTAAGGCAAATGTGCCTATCATCATACCTTAGCTCTCACTGGACTACTGTGCCTATCCTCAACCTTTTTTTCTCTTGGCAATAGAGGGCTGAATCTATGAATTCATGCTTGCTAGGGAAGTTCTTCCACTCAGTCATTTATGCACACGTGCATGTATGTGTGTGTGTGTGTGTGTGTATTTATACTAGGTCTTTCTAACTTGATCATGCTAGTCTATAGTTTGCTCTGAAGCCCAAGCAGGCCTTAAACTTGAGTGTCTGCTTCCTAAGTCTCCTAAGTAGCTAAGGTTATAAGTGAGACAATATCAACCACCAAGCTTAGCTACCAATCATTTTTTTGTTGTTGTTGTTTGTTTTTGTTTTTTTGTTTTTCAAAACAGGGTTTCTCAGTGAAGCTTTGGAGCATGTGGACAGCTGGCCTCAAACTCACAAAGATCCTCCTCTCTGCCTCCGAGTCCTGGAACTAAAGGTATGCACCACCACTGCCCAGCCTAATTGTTTTTTGTTTGTTTGTTTGTTTTGTTTGTTTGTTGTTTTTTTAAGGCAAGGTTCTTTATCTCTAAAGCCTAAAGCCTCACTAGTATACTTCCAGAGAATAAGCATAGATTGTTTTATGTTCACTCATCAATTCAATATTAAAAATAATTCCTATGTTCCAGACTTGAATGTCTACCCTGATACATCTTACTAGTACCGAATTTAAGTATTTTATTTATTATATTACTTGATATATAATCATAAGTTATACAGACATTGGTATAAAAGATGATACTTAGGCATCATTGCAAGAATACACACTATACACTGAAATTGTGGGTATAGGAATAAGAAAATTGAGTTACTTCTATACTTTCTATGACCCAAATACAATATATATTCTCTGTAATAACCATAACTCGGATTTTAAAAATGTTTAAAGACTTTACAATCTAAGCAGCTCCCAATACTGTTTGCCATGGTGAGAAATAGAAGTCCACACGTAAGTATCCTAGCAAAATTTTCAGCACACACCCGCCTAACAGATGGGTTCTCAAAAACAACTAAGCTTTCCACAAGCCAAATGCTGAAAACTTAATAATACAAGATGGTTAACAGTCTTGAATATTCGGCATTGCATAAATGAGAACCTCAGCAATCATTTGGGGGCAGAACCCCCCTTTGTACTCTCACCTCACCACCTTGCTTTTCCAAACGTGCACACCCCCTTACCTCCTTCCCCTACTGTGCTTCCCAAGTCTACGTGTCTGCAGAAAGCCCCAAACACTTGACTGATCATATCCGGTTGCCATTCCAGGAAATCCCAGAGTGGTTTTTAAGCCTCTGCCCACAGCTTGTAAAGAAAGGCGAGAGAAAAACTAATCGATACCAGCACCCCAGCTGTGACCTGGCACATAAGGAAATCTAGAAAAATAAATGTCATCCATAATCTGTATAATTTAACACTTGCAAGAAAACCACCTCTGGGACGGACTCCAAGCGGGACAGTGTTGCCTGGATGGGGATGAGATTCCTGCACCAGGTGTCAAGACCGGTTAGGAGGCAATGCCTTCTGGATCCACATTAACTCAGAGAAATGCCTTCTCCCTTGCTAGAGTTATCTGATTCCCCTAAAGGAGGGGGGGAAAGGAGAGAAAACAACCACTCTCTACACCTCTCTGGGGAGCCCTTTGCCAAGGGCTCACCTTACAGTTGGAAGCTAGAAACCCTTCTCAAAGGTGGCTACACGACCAACTATTGTCTTGATAACCAGTCAGCCCAGAACCGAAGCTCATGTAAAAATAATTTCTTTAATCATAGAGTAGATGAGTCCCATCCCTAGGAGAAGTGGGGAGGGGGGCCAGGTGCTGGTGGGGGCGAGGCGGAAATCTGTGATTAGGACTTTCTTGAAAGGTTTTCCAGATTTTTATAAATGACAGGAGAATGAATTCAGAACATAAACACGTCTCTGTACCATCCATATAAATCACTAGGTCCGTCCACGATAAAAACAAGAACGCCAGTCGGCAGGACGGGGCATTAAAGGAAATGAAGATTGTCAGTAAAATCCATAATGCTTTCTTTCTGTTAGACCTTCTGGGAGGTTATAATTGCATTTGGCCGCTTCAGGCCTGTCAGTGAGCCTTGCTTCTTAATAGTCTCAACCTAAAAGGAGTGACTGTCAAGGGGGGACCCAGCTGAGATCCAACAACAAAAAACGGGAACTGCAATCCTCCCGAAAAGGGAGGAGGGAGGGAAGGGAGCCTCCTGTATTCATCAGTCAACATTAATGTCCTTTGTTGTTCACCTTTGCACAGAACAGTGAACGCTATCTGGTTCCCTTTTCTCCCAAATCAGTGCCAGGGTAGTCCCCTCCTAAAAGCTGCCTCCCAGCATCCAAGAGCCGGGCTTTCTGACCCTCCTCTCCCTCATCACTTTCCAGCCGGCCTCCACGACCCCACTGCGCTCAACCCCCGGTGGAGAAGGTGTCCAGAAGTAAAAACGCTGCCAAATTCTCGGTTTCCCTCCAAGGACCAAAGAGCGCAGCAGCACAGATGTTGAAATTTACCAACCCCCGCCCGCAACACACACCCCAGACACCAGGCAGGCAAGGGAGGAAGGAGGCTGCGTCCCGGCTCCGTCTGTCACAGGGGCTGCCGATGCCACATTCCACACTCTGGGAAAGCCGACCCCGGGCGCAGGGACTTCGCGCCTCCCTACTGTTTGGGAGTGTTCTCGCTACGGGATCGTGGTCTCCCTCAGCACCCCAAGAAATCCTTGCAGCCCACTGCCGCCTCTCTGCCACTGAGGGCCAGCATGGGTTGGACCGAGCGAAACCCTGTTGGCCTCCCAGTCCAACTTGACACGCAACACGCCCCGCAGCAGCTCCAAACTCCGCCAGCGGAGCCCGGGGCCGCTGTCCCATCGTTCCGGGACCGGGTTCGAGCTGCGCTGCGTGTCCAGTGGGGAGTGAGACCCCAGAGCGCGCCCCTCGGCCAGAGGCCAGTGCCCCAAAGCCCGGGACCTGCTGCGCTATGCCAAGACCTGGCATTTACAGCCTGGCGCGGAGCGAGCTGCGTGGGGACAAGGACAGGAGCGTGGTAAAAGTTCGCCCGCGAACACTCACCCACGCCGTATTTCTCGTGCTCCGTAGGTATCCACATGGCTATAAAGGGCGTTGAGGGGCTCGGGGCTATGCAATCCCCGCGCCCCTCCAGTGGCTCACAACAATGCAAGGCTCCCGAAGAGCAGCTGCGGCGCTGGAGCGCGGCGGATCGCGCGGGCTGCGGCTCTGGGCAAGAGCTGCGCCCGGGGCTCCCGAGCGGGCACTGACACTACACGGCCGAGGCTGCGCCGCACGCCGCTCTGCCGGCCGCGGCTGCTCACAGCCCTGCGACGCGCTCCCGGGGACCCGGAGGCGCAGTCATTGTTCTGATTCACTGAACTAAGCGAACACGCCGGGGCACTCGCGGGCGCACCCCCGCCCGTCAGCGGCTCATCCAGCGCTGCCTCCCCACCGCCCACGCAGCATGCCGGGAGTTGTAGTTCTTGGTCTCCCGGCGCCGGAAGAGGGCGAGGCTTCAGCATTTAGGGGCGGGGCAACTAGTTCGGTTCGCCGCATCTTATTGGTCCAGAATGTGACGGCTTGGCATAGGCGTGTAGGAAATCACTCAGTGGGTCGGCACGAGACCCGGGGCGCGTTTCTATTGGTGTATCCTCGCTCCGCTCCGCCTACGGCTCGCCCCTTTCAGCTGGGCCAGGTAATGGCTGCTACAGAGGCCAGGGGGCTCGGTGCGGAGCAGCGGGAGGACTCTGAAGGGGTCCGCAGTGGAGTCGTGTACGCGGATCATGAAGGTGAGTGCGCTGTCCCTTGGGTGCGGGTTATCTGCCTTCATTTCTCCCGTGCCCGGGGTGCATCTGGCTCCGGTTTAGACCATAAGAGCCGGTCATCTCTGAGACCACCTTGGTGGCAGGCTGAGAGCCACGGGAGGGACCCAAAGAGGTGTGGTGGGCGGATGGCGATTGCCTGGCCGAGGCTGTCTTGGATAGGAGGAGAAAATGGGAAAACCTGCCTTCCCGGCTGCTGGGGAAGCTCCTTTTGCTATCTTCCTGGTTGGAATTCCATGCTTTGCCGCCTAGTGGGTTTGGGTCAGGTCTGGGTCGCACGTGTCATTGTAATGCTGGGATTAGCAGCTATTTCCTAGCTAGTACCATTCGCCCTGCTCAGTTTCCTGAGTTTGGCTTTGGAAAGGTGTTTGTTTTTTTTTTTTTTTTTTTTAAGTTTGGGACAGGTTTCCAAGTTGGAGACTGGTCATGGCTCTCCAAAACTTACTTGCCGGTTACTCTCTCCAAAAGAAAGGGTGTGTGCCTCTCAGGTATCCCTTGGCCCTTGAGCTCTCCAGAATTGACTGTGGAGCTTGGGAGATCTTTAGCCTTAAGTTCTCAGTGAAAATGAAAAGAGAAGTAAATGCACACTAGCCTTCACTGAGTATTTAAAAGGGGGTGTTGAAAATCATCACAGTTACTTTGTATCTACATGACTTTGAAGTTATCTTCAGTTCCACTGGAGGGACCAGAAATCAAATTTGAAAACCACACATAGAGTACCTTTTTCTTTGGGTCTTGCTCCACTCCCCAACGAATCCCTTTTTGCTTAAATGTATAATTTAGCACACCAAGTTTCCTTTTTTTTTTTTTTTTTTTAGTATGATTTGGCGTTTGGTTTTGGTTCTCCATCCTTGTTACTGCTTTATTTCTTCCACCTTCACAGCTAATTGAGATTTACTACGAATTTTTTTTCTTTTTCTAATCTCAGTAGCAGAGAAATGAAGTGCAGTTTCTTCCCACTTCCATGAATGAAATTCCCATCTTAGAAGCAATCTATCAACCTGTCGTTGGGTTATCCCTATGGCTATTCTTATATAACAGACTGTTGTGTTTTCTCAGATTACCAAAGTTCCAGAGGGTTGCCATTTTAAGATATAAGGTTGGAAACTTTGATAACTGTTTCCTCAGGGATTAATTCACTTGAAAATTTGCAAAAAAAAAAAAAAAAAAACTAATACAGTATAAAACAATTAAAAGTTATTAATTACCTTACAATTCACTAAAAAACATTTCAAACAGTCCATTCAGAGGCATTTAGAATTAAAAAAAAAAAAATAGTAAAGCCCCTCCACTACACAGATGCACTTATAAAGGTTGGTGCATATTTCTTCTGATATATTTATAATATGTGTAGTATAGTTCATTTTTTAATAAAAAGGCTAATTCTAGTAAACTCCAAAGATCTATGACTTTCTTCTTGTTTACCAAAGACATTTTCATACCAGAACATGTATTGCTTTATTTTTTAGTGACTACACACATATTCCATAGAACAGATATTCCATACTCCAACAGTCCCCTGTTAACCAATATATAAAGTGGCTTTACTTTTCAATAGTATTACAGAGTGTGCTTATTTGTGTACATATATCCTTGTCCAACAGAATTGGTATGCCAATGGTTATTAAGCTTCTGTAAGTTTTCCATAGATACTAGTTTTCTCTCTTGCATATTCCCTTTATCCAATATTTCACCAACTATGAGGAAATTACTAATCCAGGACCAGTGTTGAAGTATGGAAGGACTGAATTAGGTGACTGATGGACACTTAATTTTAAGTTCCAACTTATTTTCAACAAAAGTATTGAGCAGCAGTGAATTTGCAGTGTCTGTAAATAAGTGTCCCTTTCTCTTCTTCAAAACTGCCCAATATTATCATTGATTTGTAGCAGTGACTGGGAGAGCTTAGTGATTAGGTTTTGTGTCATTTTTAGCAAGTAAATTTGTCATTTAAATTTTTTCCTCTAATAATTTATCATTCTATGACTTTATCAGAATCCTTTTTAAGCTCTGCAAAATGGGACATATATTTTAGGTGGGAATAATTACATTAGGAGTCTATTTCTTCTTAGGCAGGCACTTAAGTTATCAAGCATGCCTTTCCCTGTAAAATCACACGCCTTTTTAATTTCTGCAAAACTGCCTCTTTTCAGAGGTTTCCCTCCAGCTCTAATTAAAATGTCAATCTGTGTGTTTAACATCCCGAGACAGAAGGGCCTGAGGAGTCATTTAGTAGAAATCTTTGCAGCTCTGTAAATCTCCATGGGAAGGAGTCACTAGGTGGGGTGGAGGCATACACAGCTTCCTTACTGAGAATGCTGCTGCCTGCACTCTCTTGGTCCTCCCGGAATCCCTGCATTGGCTGGCTTCCAAAAAAAATTATCTCACTCTCTGAGAAAAACCAAAAAGGCAATTTTGTTGGCAACACAGATACAGAAAGAAATGACACCAAGTGTGCAACTTCTCTCCTTGCCGGTTCTCCAGTGTACAAGTTACCCCTTGGGTGTTATGACAAACTCTGTATGCTGTGTTGAGGGCCTGGAACTGAGCTGAGAGCTGTTGATGTCTTCTGAGATTCACACGGAGAGAAAATTAAATGACAGGGGCAGGCCAAGACTTGAACGTCCCTGTTTGCCGTTCATTTGAACAGAAGCCAGTATATCTTATTGTTTCCTAAAATTAAAAACAAAAATTAGGGTTTGGGTAAATGGCTTAAGTGATTAAGAGCACTTGCTAGGCAAGCATGAGAATCTGAGTTCAAGTCCTTAGTACCCACATTATAGCCAAATGTGGCCCCTTGTGCCTGTAATTCTAGCTTTGTGGGGTGGAACAGGTAAGTCCCACGTGCTTTTTGGCCAGCCTATCTAGCAAAAACTATAAACTTTAGGTTCACTGAGAGTCTGAGGCAAATAGAGTATGAAAATGTTTACCTGTATTGTAAGATTCTGTCAGTCACCTTGGTTGTTTTCTCCAAATGAATACATAGTAGATGATGACGGTGGTGACTGGATTTATGACACCTGTCCTGCTGAGATTGTATTACTCTCATTATGATGTCTGTGGAAGAAGTGCTTGAGAGTAGCAAGTGAACTCCTTGTTCTTGTATTTCATAATCAGATAAATAGCAGCAAGTCAAAGCTAGCTAGAAACCTAGGCAGTATCTGTGAGCCATGTCATGCCCACAGGCTGTAAATTTGATCAGTTACTAAGTCCCACTTCCCTATTCCTGGAGTATCAGTGGAGCCTGCCCTTCGGTTCATCTCTGTAGCATTATTCTAATTCTATTTCTAACTCTCAGCATCAATACTGATTACTTCTTTGCATCTTGTATCTCCTAGTCTGAGCTCCAGAAGGAAAACCAAGACCTTGTTGGACTTGGTTTTGTCTGTCTGATCTGGTACACTGTTAATATTTAATAAATGTTTGACCCAAACAGTATTCCAGCATCCCCAACTGCAAAACCTGTCTCTTGACCTCTCTGATACTCAATTATACCCCTTTTAATCTGCATTTGAAAAAAATCTATTTTAGGGATCTCCACTAGAAATTACTGTGACTCTGCAACATGCATAAGTAACAGGCCCAGCTTCTCTAGGTAATAGTTATTCAGCCTCATCTTCAGCCAGTCCCTTTCCAGGCCCATATCTTCATTATCTACTTCTCTTATCAGACCACACTTATTTGTTGGCATCTTCACTTACTGAACCCAAGCCTTATTTACTTTATATCCTTTGACTATCAGAGCTCCATGCATTAAGGAGTAACAGTTTAAATGCTTAGAATATTCTTGAAGTTTATACAAAGTGTTTATCATTGCTGCCACTTTAAGTAGAAGAATTGAAATGGGATTTTTAAAAAGACAAGAAAATGATTTATGTTTATGAAAGGTATGCATACCAACTAGAAGTGCAAAATATTATCAGAAGGTATTTTGTCAGAACTAATCATGGTTTGCATTGTATGTTTTTTTTGTTTGTTTGTTTTTGTTTTTTGTTTTGTTTTGGTTTTTTCCCTTTTAAAAATGATTTCTAATATTGTCTAGATAATGATTAATTTTCTGGAGAATACTTTAGGTCTGGCCTTTAAATCTGGATTCTGTAAATGAATGACATGAACCTTGAACTCTGCCTTGCATCATCTATATGACTGGTGGCCAGTTTTTACAAGCTGTTTTCTATTTTCCTAGCATTCATTCTAGCCTGTCATATGACTATAGAAAGAGGGATAGACTCTATTTGAGAAAAACTCTATTTCAGTTTTAATTCTGGCATTGAATATATATTTAACATAGAGGTTTGTTGTATGCTGTACATTAGTGAAAATATCCACAAATACCAGCCTCTCAAGATTCCTTTGAGTTACATATTTATGGAAGCCCTGTATATAATATTCATGCTATAAAGTCAGACTTTGGTAAATATCAGTTGCTCTATTGTGGAGATATACCTAAATTCACATTAAAACTGCTTGGCCTCTGATACTGGATCCAGGTATGAGGCTACCTAAGCTGTGGTTTAACCCTGGGGAAGCTTGGGAATGCTCCCATGCTAGCTGCTTATCCTACAATCCCCTACTGGAATGTGGGGGCTGTCACAGTATCTGTCAGAGCTATGTGCTTACATTGCAACTATGTGCTCTCAAAGCCCTTTACATAAACATCTATCTATACTGTCACCCTACATAGCACTGTATCTTCATACCCAGCTTCTGATGCCACACATCCTCCAGGACTGCCCTGTCAGCTTGGGATGGCTTTACAAGGTATAGGTTTGAGGGTGCTAATGGGGGGAAAAGAATCATAGAAATACTATCTTTGTGGATCTTGTTTAGTACAAGGACTTTCTCTGAGCATCTTTTTTATTTTCCTATGACACAGGAAATCCAACTTCTGGCTTCAGAGATGAACTGTTATAGAAGGGGCTATTATAGTAATGGTGGTGGTGATGATGGCTAACATTTGAGAGGTG